GGGGCTGGGGTTGGGGTGGTGGGGGGTCAGACGGGGCTGGGTATCCGAGTGCAGGAGGCCTCACCCTCTGCCCGAGTCGCCTTCTACAAACCAAACCCCACGGCAGCCTCCGACCCTTTAGGGATTTTTTTTTACCGAAACGTCCCGTGTTTGATCCTCAGATACAGCCATAAAACCGCAGCCGTTACCCGGGGCAACGCGGCGCCCCTTATTCCCTGCTCGCTGTCGACGAGAGGGACTACGCAACAAGATGGGTTCCCCTAAACGCTTTACCCAACATAATAACATCACGTTTAAAAATTAACGGCTTTATATGTTAAGTATAAAATGCGTATTGTTGGGTTTCCTGATGTTTTAAAGTTGTGGGTGATTTACATGTTCACAGCGTCCCTGATGGTCGGAGGTCATGTTGACAGCTGTCGCCTCGCAGCCCTCCCGACGGTCGGAGGTCACGTTGACCGCTGTCGACTCGAGGAACGCGGGTGTGAGCGCCGCCGTGAGGCTCGGAGGTCAGTCTGCGCGGCGTTGTCGTTGGTCGCAAGCGCAGGCGAGCGTTGTCCTTGAGCGCCCCCCGATGCTCGGAGGTCGCGTTGGTCGAGGATCTGCGGAGAATGTGAGAATTTGCACGTCCAGGACCGAAGGAGGCGGGTTTTGGGAAGGAGGCCAAGGGGCTTGAACAGGCCTGCGGCCGAGGGAGGCCCGCCTCTCTGGGGCTGAGGTTAGAGGAGGCCCCAGTGAGGGAGGAGGAGGATTGAGGAGCAGAGAAAAGCCCGAGGTAGGAATCTGGCTGCACTCCCCCCCCAACATCAATTACAAAACTGTCAGATAATACCTTTAGGAGATGGAATAAGTAGAAACACGTATTTTTCCAGTTTTGGATCATAATCATAAAAAGTTGAGAGAGCATCTGTCAGTTTACATTTTGATTTAGTTGTTTCTCATTCAGTTTTTGAAAAAGTCCTTTTTTCTGATTTTTTAAAACAATTTCAAGGCAGGTTCTGAATCCTTCAGTTTGTACACTCCTAATCCTGTACACATGTGCAGTTTCAGGTTGAGAGGCATAACGCAGCATTTTCATAGTGTCCCTATAGTGTGGAAGCAGGCTACTCAGCCCATGGAGTCCACGCTGACCCTCCAAAGTACATCCCACCCGGACCCACACCCCTGCACAATCCCTGTAACCCTGCATTTCCCATGGCTAATCCACCTAGACTACACATAGAGTCATAGAGGTGTACAAGCATGGAAACAGACCCTTTGGTCCAACTCGTCCATGCTACCAGGTATCCGAAATTGATCTAGTCCCATTTGCCAGCATTTGGCCCATATCCCTCTACACCCTTCCTATTCATGTACCCATACAGATGCCTTTTAAATGTTGTAGTTGTACAGCCTCCACCACTTCCTCTGGTAGCTCATTACGGACACACACCACCCTCTGCATGAAAAGGTTTCCCCTTATGTCCCATTTAAGTCTTTTCCCTTTCACCTTAAACCTATGCCCTTTAGTTTTGGACTCCCTTACCCTCGGGGAAAATAACTTGAATATTCACCTTATCCATGCCTTTCACGATTTTATAAACTTTTATTCTGTTGGGGGGCAATCTACTCGGAACGTGCAAGCTCCACACAGACAGTCACCCAAAGGTGGAATCGAACCCAGGATGCACTGGCACTGTGCGGCAGTAGTGCTAACCACTGAACCACCATACTGACCAAAATTTAACACCCTTCTTGCCGTACAGGGTTATACTGCCATTAAAGAATTTGTATTCTAGTCTGAGGATGATTTCCCTGTGCCTTTGATAAGCATCCAGTATCCCACTGGTAGTAGATTTTTGTCACCACTGTGTGACTTACGAGCTACCTTATAAAAAGAGACCTATTATCTTGTTTGTGAACACTTGGCTAAATTCTTTAGTTTGTGCAGGCAATTGGAATTCATTTATACTTGTAAAGCAATCATGGAGTGTTGCAAAGGATCCTTAGCTGTGATATTTGACTCCAGAATGAAGGGAGGACCTATCAAGCGATAGACTGAATGTCAAAGCCAGGAGGGGAAATAGGAGCATTAGAAATAGTAGCAGTTTTAGGCTGTTTGGTTCCTCAAGCCAGCTCCAGTGTTCACGATGAAAAATTTGTATTGAATCTACTTTTCCATGCTTTCTCCTGACCCTTAATTCCTTTAATGCCCAAAAATCCATCACTCTTAGCCATGAATTTTTTTTAAATTCACTCTTAGGACATGGATGTCACTGGCTGGACAACATTTATTGCCCATCCCTTGTTGCCATTGAGAAGGTGGTGCTGAGCTGCCTTCTTGAGTCACTGCAGTCCATGTGCTGTAGGTAGATCCACATTCTGTTAGGGAGGGAATATATTCTGGACTGAGCATCCACAGCTCGCTGGGATAGAGCATTCCAGAAGATTCACAATCCTGTGAAGAAACGTTTCCCCACCTCAGTGTCCAATCTCTCATTCTGGGAATATAGCCAGTACTAGACTCTCCAGCCTGTCAAACTCTCTGAAAAATTTTCAGTGGGTTCATCTCTCGTTCTTCTAAACTCCATAGCATATAAGTCCATTCTGAGCAGCAGGGAGAGAAAGGTTAAGGTTATGGCATGATAGAAATAAGGATCATGGTGATGGGTCTAATCACTACTAAAAAGGATGTGAACTCAGAGGGTAAGAGGTCCAGATTCCTGATGCAGTGGGAGGTAGGAATGAATGTGCAGCACATTTTTTCTTTGCAACAATGCTTATTTCTTTCTGAATGACTCATTCAGGTCCTTCTCATTTGAAGCCCTTTGCAGTTTACCATATGTATTACAGTTCACTCAGAGTCCAAGTTCACTTTCACATACACATTGTAGTCTGGAGCAATGGATAATGATGGTAGAGACTCCAACTTTCTTTCCATCACATGGCTGACCAGGAAATCTCCTGTTTTTACAATCTGCTGTTGCCATTTGTCAGAAGGAATTGCGGTTGATACTCAGCTTGTTTGGCTGCGTTATGAACACACCTTCTTTCCTTGACCCATCAAGTCATGGGATGGGACTCGAACCTGCAGCTCGTAGCTCAGAGCAGGGATGCCCTGTCCGATTACTCATGTTCTTCACTAGCATTCCCAGAGTCCCATCCTTCTTTGATACGTGTATCCTATAGGTATCAATTTTTGCCTATGCTCTTACAATCCATTTTGTTCATATTCATGGCATCTGGGCATCATCTTTCTGGCCCATCCTAGTTTCCCTTGAGAAAGAGATGGTGAGCTGCCTTCTTGACTCACTGCAGTCCAATTGTTGTAGAGACATCCACAGTGCTGCTAGGGAGGGATGTTGACCCACCAGAACTGAAGGAATTTTCAGGATGGTGTGTGGCTTGGAGAGGAAGTTGCACGTGGTGGTGTTCCCATGTATCTGTTGCCTTTAAATTTCCAGATAGTGCATGAATTTAGAAGGTGCAGTCTCAGGAGCCTTGGTGAATTCCTGCAGTATGCCTTGTATACTGAGTGTCAGTGGTGGAGGGAGTGAATGTCTGTGGATGTGGTTTTAATCAAACAGGCTGAATTGGCCTGGATGGTGTCAATCTTCGTGATTGTTGTTGGAGCAACATTCATCCAGGCAAACTGAGGAGTAATCCATCACATTCACAGTAACGTTAATCTTTCCAGTTACAATGCAGCACATTTTGTAATCTTGCATTCCTTCGTATTCTGAAATGTGATCAAAATTTCAGGTTTAGATGACTTTCAGGATCCATCTCTTTCATTGGCAGCATTATACTGCAATGTGATTCCTATCCGGAAATATTCTTACAAATTGTAATGGACTTTGCCAAAAAAAATGTCCTGTGACTTGGCAGAATGATTGTATAGGTGGCAGTGAGAAAATGAGAGGAACAGAACCATCGTTGAGGTAATTGGAATAAAAAAGATAGAAAAATGAAAAATGGTGCAAATACTCAAAAGGTCAAGCAGCATTTGCAGAGCGAGAAATAGAGCTATGTTGTTGGTTGAGGACCTTTAATCAGAACTGTTCTGACAGTAATCTGAAATGTTACCTTTTTTTCTCTATTCATAGATGCTGCCATCATTTTGCTATTTTTAGTTTACATTGTATTTTCTTTTGTCCTGGTGGCAATAGAATAATGAGTTTATCAAAGGAGAGGGTTGGCCACATGCATGCAAATAAGTAAAGAGGACATGGGTTAGTTGCAGCTATGGAGAGGCCAACCTGATGATAGTCCAAGCAGCATCATAGGAGCAGGAAGGCTGACGTTTCGGGCCTAGACCCTTCTTCAGAAAAGAAGGGTCTGAAGAAGGGTCTAGG